TATTATAAAAATATTTTTCGTCAAATAATTAATATTTTTTTAAATACTTACATACAGATTAACTAATTTAATATACAATAATAGGTCCATAAAATTAGTCAAATATGAAATAATTTTTATAAAGAATGCCAATACTCATTTTACAAATATAAGGACCATAAAGTTTGTCAAAAAATAAATAATATGAAAATAATATTTTTTAATAGGTATATAAAAATATAATACAAAGGCTCTCTGGCCCACGCGTTACATACACAAAACGCATTTACGCAGAATCAGTTTTTCTATATTTTTAAGTAATCGTAGAGTAAAATCACTCATTACAAAAAAGATAGATAATAATATTTTTGAGGGAATGACACATCGATTTTATATTTCATTGTTATTTGACTTTCAAAATTAAACAAAATAATGTTGTAAATTCATAGAATAAATGATTCTGCGCAAATGTGTTTTGTCTATGTTGTGCGTGGATCAGAGATAGAAAAATAGTGCGCTGACATCCTCTTAAATATTATTTTTTTCTATTTTTATTATTATTAGRCTTCGACAACTGAGGTAATTAGCCTGGGGGAACTGTAGGGGAAGGTATTGTAGGTTTTAAGCACGTGGGTATTTTTGGCAGAATTTTGAATGGGCACYCGTAGGTTTCTGCCATKCCCGGTKGGGGGGCGGCGGCCTCTCTCTCCAGACACCGCGAAATGCCCAAAGAGCGATGCCGCCCGTGACCGAGGTTCGAACCGGCGACTGCGTGCATGGCAACAGACGCCTTATTAGTCCGCTCGRSCACTCCACCCCCAAATATTATTTTATTACAATTTAAAATGTAATAGTGGCACAATCACCGGGTCTTCCTATTATAAATATAACATTTTAGTGGCCCAATTACCGGGCCTACCYGTAATGAATATAAAATTTTAGTGGCCCAATTACCGTATGCCTTTGAAAAAAAAGGTGAATTGTGGCCCAATTCCCGGGCGCCCGATTTTTCGCGACGCGACGATGAGTTTTAGTATCGTTACTTTTTATTCCTTACAGTTGTATACATATTATTATAGTACACGTCGACGTGACTACGAAGCGATGACAATTTTTTCAAGTCCCCCGCTCAAACGTCTCCTCGGAAAAGACCCATCGTATAATAATAATAATAATAATAATAATAATATATATTCATGAAACCGTGACATTTCCCAGTCACCATCACAGTACAATTACCGGACATGCTGCCATAACAATAATATTGAGACGATATCAAGCATTATAATATTATACATTATTAATAGGTTTTTGTTTTATCGACACGGCAGACTAAGACAATATTATACAGAGTGATTCAGCGAAACCATTATGCTTGCTCTTCTCTTTTATAATCCATTTATTTTAATTCTGATTTTAAAGAAATCTTCAATATGCTTAAGTACTATTATGTTGTTTTCAAACAACAACGTTCGTATGCCATTACACTGTTTGGTAAAAATATTTATATTTTTTCAAATTCAATTGAAAACGTTGTTAATCTAAATTGGAATTTTAATGCGAAATTTCCGAGCAACTACTTACTTGTACGTATAGACCTACTAAGGAAAATAGCTCGGCTTACGGCTTTACAMAGAAYGTATAATATATAAATCAATAAACGATGGCAGCAGAGGACTAGAATTGTTCACACTTAGCCTCTTGTATGTAATGTCGGTTAATGGGGGGAAAAAAACATTTAAAAATTAAACACATTATTATTTAATGTATATATACGCAGTAGTGGGTACTTATTACACTTCGCTAATTTTTACAAATTAATACATTTTAATGGATAAGTTTTAATTAATAATTGAAGTCTTCATATCTATATAATAATCATATAAGATTTTATCCTTATATAGTGGGTAGATATTTATAAACAAATAATTGTAATAGTTACCTAATTGAAATCTATACTCGTACGAATATCAATTTAGTTCTGGAACACGTTGAGCGAGACATATTTTAATCTGYATAGAACATATCGCATAATATAGACAATATAGTCATCATTACTTTGGATKGCATATTTTTTCTGAGGCGGTTTTGATGTAGTAATTTCGATGCCCAATCGAGAATGCAGGTCGAACAGTCTCGTTGTGCTGTGATCCGACCCACGTTGTGTGGTGTTAAAAAATTTGATAAGTGGTGGACAACATTTCATGGGTGCAAAATTTAGAACGTTGCGGTTCATCTTCGATTCGGAATCGTTTTCGTCGACAGAAACTATATACGGAAGTCGAATTTTTTCAAAATTTGGCGACACCGTGGCCGTCATAGACGTGCGTCTATATATATATAATGTATATATTCACTGTACACATAAGGTATTATTRTRTATACGCTTACGAGGATATACGTCTCACGTGTGTAAATGTGTAACATAATATTATATAGACTTGGTCGTCGTATTAATTGCACTTATACCGTTCCGTGTGATCCAATTAAGCTCGACAAACGACCGACCGAAACTTGCAGTCGTGTGGTACAGTTACACAAATTCTTTATAAAGTTGACACTTGCGGTTTTTGAAGTAATAACAATAATAATTTTATTAGCCTAGCTTGTATCAACGCGTCTGTACCTATATAATATGTAGTTTATGACATTAAAATAAATATTATTCATCATAATAGGTACTGTGGTTGAAATTTTTTTTTTAAATTAAAAGCAGAATATTATTTTCAAATCTTGAAGAACGAAGTAAAATGACAAGGGATGATACTCGTACACGTTGTGATCAGCTTCTCAGCTTGTCTAAAAAAAAAAAAAATTGTTACAAATATTTGATATAATGAAACGAATTTAACGCACAGTATGAACCATATAAGAAAGTTCTAGGATTTTTAACGGGTTACGAAGTGCACGGGTTCAGCTAGTAATATTATAATATTAAAAGATACTACAATTTATATACCCTATAGCGCTGTAACACGTACCTACACGAAGTTGTCCCTTCCTCCGACTTAATGTCAACAAATTCAAAATCATTGTTCACGTTTGATCATTTCCGCCTAACGAATTGTAAAGTAAACTTCAATACTGTAGATTTATTGTATTTTTTTTCTATCTGCTTGCAATCTCTTACATTTATTTTTTTTTGCACGAAGTTGGGGGGGGGGGCGGGCTGACTTCACGTACATCGCAGTAACATAAATAAGCATCTGCAAACTGACTGGCGTACACGTGATTTTTGAATGGCGATGTCGTGGATGATGATGCTTCAATTTTTGAAATGATAACCCCCTCCTCTCTTTTGCTGTAAACTATTTTTAACGGATGGTTTTTTTTTTTTTTTTGAAAATCTTGACTTATCTAGTTAAAAATTCGAATGAGTAGTTTCTTAGTTATTAAAACATTTGCAGTTCCTACTTAGAAAAATAATTTTACAAAAATATAAAAATAGAYGTAATATTGGAACTASTATTTATTGTATTTGGTGTATCATTTTTACAATTTATTAATGTCGATAGATTAATATGACAAATGAGTGACTACAATTTTCAAATCACTTGTAGGTACGAATTTTGAAATGTCAGATTTTTGAATTGCAGCGATATAGTTGTGGATGATGATTCTCCTCACCCAAGGCATCATGCTAACATAAAAAATCCATCAGTTTCAGAAATGCTAATCAATGCATAATGTAGTATTGTAGCATACTTGTTGAATTTTACTTTTTGAAATTTTTCCAAGCATTGGTATTTGCACTAGTGCAGTCACACTGCRAGCTCCATCGCAGTATATAATAATAGGTATATTGTCTTTATTTATGACGTTGCGGTGCTGTGGTTTTTATAAAAGCTTTCGGAATGAGGTCATTTCATTGACTACGTCTCGTTCGCGAAGTCGTTATAAATATATTATTATATTTTTATTCAACATTACCTGAATAGCCAGAGCACTTGAATACTACTACTATTATTTATTTAAAAAAAAACTGACTTTGATAATAATAATATTTACGTATTACTGCTTTATGCTATAAAATTTTWAAAAAAAATCAAATATATCACTCATTTCAGAACAATATTTAAAATATAAAAAACGCCTAACAAGATAAATTTTCAAGCATACTTATTATTATTATTTATGATGCTCTTTCATACACAATATCCACAAAAAATCAAATCAAAAGGAATGATATATACACGTTTTTAAGAATTTCACCTGCATTCAAATAATTTAAAACGTAATGAGCAACATTAATAGTTATGGGAGTAAGCACTTATATATACTTTTGTTTGTATTTGTTATTATAAATTATTCGCTTTTCTCGAAGAGTAAAATATTTAAGATCTCGTGAAATAATGAGACACTTTTTAAATTATTTATATTTTTATAAAAATCACGAGTCATTATTAAATGTCCAGAGGTGAACACTGTAGTGCTCGTGTGTTCGAAAGTTTAAACTTTATATTATTATGATGCAATATATGTCTATGTCATTATTGGCCCAATTTCCCCCCTCTCTCTTTGCATGTTACCTGTTGGTATAATACATATTATATCCGGTATCAAATATCATGTGATAACATCACATGATGACCTTTTTAATTAAAACCAAACTTCTAAATAGTTTATAATCTGTTTTTGCTTATACTATATGTAAATACTGTATCCTTAAAAATTGTTAACTTTAAGCTCCTTGTATGCCAATGGCCAWAGACGYCGAGGATTATTAATTCAAATAAAAAAATAAAATAAAACTAGTATATCCGGCCTTGGCGTTAGTGTTCCAGAAAATGTACATATCTCCAGGCCGGTCCCTACATCATATTTTTTCCTCTGGCACACAACTAAATACGGGCAACGGATGTTTTTCTACTATATATTGAAGTATAATTATTTACATGAAACGCTGGGCCCCAGTGCCACGGGTCCTTCTGGCCACCACCCTCCCCGACTGTGGAGGCCTACGCGGCTATCTCATATGATTATCCGATATTAAAGTTTATATTGTATTTTTTTCCACACAGATAAACCTCAGTTCAAAAATCGACCGAAAAACGTYCAAGCGGATCCCGGAACATATGTGACGATCATGTGTGACGTGGACAGCAATCCGCCACCGACCATCGAGTGGACATTCGAGAAAACAAAAAAAGTGAGTGTTAAACAACGCTTTTCAAYTTTTTCGCTCCTAAACTACATTTCGTAGAATATTTTATTATACTGTGAATTATGACACTATAACATCTCAATCATTACACCTGATGGCCCTTGGGAAGTATTTATCACTTAGCCTAATTGTTTTCGGAAAGTTTTAATCACGTATAGTGGTGAATATTTCGGTCATAAATTAAATGACTTTTTAATCCCTATCACAGCATATCAGTCAAAAGCAAATCCGGACTAACGGCGGGAAAGGTTGCTATCAGACGTAATATCGTCAGCCTATAACATAATATTATTATATACAGAATAAAATGCATTAATCATTTGTACCTATATATAACTATTATATTTAAATTCCTACTGWAAACTAAAGCATAATTATTTCAAAAGTTGGAATTAACTCTGATTCATCGTTAAAAGTTTAAAATGTATATGAATACAAAACTGAATTAAGTTCATATTTTGTTTGAGTCATCAAATTAATTTGAATTTTGTTCGTATTTATATTTATATTTATATATCTAATATATTATGAAACTTTCAACTTTTTTTTTTGGTACCTAGTTTATTTTATTTTATTTTAAAATAACAAACCACCTCAACGACTTATTAGTCACAAAACTTAAATAATTTGAAATATAAACCTTACATTATTATTATTTAAATAATATAAAAGTTAACTTTCCCGACATGCACAACCTGCGGTGTCCAATTCACCATCAACCACATAGGTCCTCATGGAATGCCGAACCTACGACAATACCCGAAGAAGCCACAGCCTACCCCAATCACTATCAGAAACTCTATGCAATCACCATTGCCAACACCATACAATTCATTACAGCCGCCAATCTTATATCCAAAATTTAATGTAACTTATATGCAATTTTTATTATTTCTGTAGTTTCTGTAATTTATAATTTTCGCACTGTAAGCCCAATGGCCCATGTTGCCGAGGGTATTATTAATAATAATAATAGAAAAAAAGTTAACTTATTTAATACGACATTATAAATACCTATAGATACATGGTATAGGTAGTTTTATAAAAAAAAATGTATATGTGCTACCTACGACTGCTGTTAGTATTTCAAATGAGTTGTCTGTGTTCTTCGATGTGATGATCACATAATATATTGTATATAAATTAGWGTCATCTTCCTACAGTGGCCCACCACAACATTTGAATTTAAGATAAATCATAATCAGCTATTGAAAATGATTTCATGAACCATGACTTATATGAATATATGAACACATTAATCATGTAATGGCATTATTTTYGTATAATATATCAAGTTAACATATTTGCCCCTCCTCTAACAAATTTTTGTCTCATCATGGCCCACCTGATACTAAAATTCTGGCGCCACCACTGTTTTCCCATAARAATACATYTTCTCAGTATCATTCTCATCATTACCCACTCGCACCCTACATTATATATAATCTATACAGCAGGAACGTACCCAAGAATTTTACAAAGAGGGGGTGGGGGTCGAAATAATTTTAACATGTAAAAAGCATAAAAAAAGGTATTTTGCACCTAATGAATTTTAAATCCTGTCATTCCCTGAGGGGGCGGATCCAGATCCGACCCCCCCCCCTTGGATAGACCACTGGTGTATAGAATATAGGTAACCGTGCAGGTAGACTGCATATCATCATAAATAGGGTAAAACAATATTACAATGTACCAGGTACCTATATATATATACTTACAACCGGAATTTGTTTGGCTGCAGGTGATGAGCACGACCAGCAACTTGACGGTGTTGGTGTCGAATTTGACGGTCGGCCGATATCACTGCAGGGCCATCACGTCTGGGTTTGGTGAGGTAAACGCCGAGGCTTCGGTGACCATGAGGGGCAAACCGATCATCGACAGCCCTCTGGTCCAGTACGGCACTCTGTCCGAAACGATCCGGCTCGAGTGCGTCGCCAAGTCCGTGCCCGTCGCCGACCGGATAGTTTGGACTTACCATAACACCGAAATCGGCACCAAGAACGATCAGAAACATTATTCGGTGAGTATCTCGATTTGTCATATAGTATAGTGAGACGCGCCCTAAAACGTCACTGCAAGCGCGCATCGCTCGAATGAAAAATAATATATTATGTATTTATGCAATGCTGCAGAAAATAGAAACATTATAACAAAATAGGTATACATGTGTTATGGAAAAATTACAAAACGTAGCATTTAAAGCATATGATTGTACTTAGATATACTTTTTTGATTATATACAATTAGCAAGAATTTAAATTTAAATTTAAATTAAAAAAAAAAAAAAACAAAAAATCCATTCGCGCGTAGGTATTTATTWACCTACGTTACTATTATATTATTGGGTTGTTAGATATTTTATTGCTATAGGTAAATAAGCTATAATTCGGCTATATCGTGACTATACTATAATATTTTATTATACGAACCAACATTTTTAATGCGTATTAATGTAAACATTTTTTTTTTAATTTGTAGAATGCCACATAACTTTTAGTATAGGATAATTTGTTATAAAACATGGTACATACAAAAAATAGGTTTGTAAAAAGTAAAAATATTTTAATGTATTTTTAATACATATTYGTACTTGGAACTTTGGAACTACGCAGTTTATAACTATTGGTGTATAATATTATGTATATGACGTGTTCTCTTCATCGGAGATATTTTCAAATATTATTGTTTAAAAAAATAATAAGGAATTTAAAAACGTTCGCTTTCTCATTGTTGTAATTTTACTCGATTTATTGCGAAACAAAAAAGTTTTTTATTTATTCGTTGGTCCGGTGGAATTTATTACGGTTTATTAAAAGTGCAGTAGCATCAATATTCGGTTGTTTGCATTACATTTCCAAAAATCGGCTTAAGCTTATTACACAGATCGATTATCAACGATAATCGCACTCGCGGTACAAGAGTTTTCGGCTTTCTATTACTTTGTTCATTTGTTGTTGTTTATTCGTGTTTGTTTGGTGCCCCTTTTATTATTTCCTCATCGATCACTCGTACTAAGGCCGTGCCGGTAAGATGTTAGTGTAGAATGCAGATAAAGGATTTTGACAACGATTATACCTGCAGATATGGCTATTAAAATGTTCGCTATATTTTTCTAAATAATCAATTTTCATACTGCGGTGTTTAATAAAATATAATAATTATCGTCAGAAACTCAATGAACACGCTATGATAAATATATTAAATTTGCAGATTGGTTCCATAATGATTGTTTGAAAGACGAAACACTCAGTTTTTTCAAATACTACCGTTATAAAAATGTATTTTTAGACACTTTAAAATCATAACAGAACATAATATAATAAAAAWTTCCATTTTTATTAATATTATTTTCTGTTTTTATTTTTTTTTTTGAAATTCTAATACATAAAAATCGAAATTAAAAATAGTAGATAATTGGTAATAATTATTTAATATTATTAAGATGAGCAGAATAGTGTATCAACATTTACTGAACATTTACATTTAAAATTTAATTATAAGTAATTAAAATTAATTAGTTAATTTTTCAAAATTTCTTTTTTACTTAGATGGTTAAATTTTCATTTTTAATAAAATAATTTGCTTAAAAATGTACTTATGCTGCCATTAAATCCGATTAAAAATATCAAGTAACATTGTAAAAAATATTTTTTTTCAAAATGTTTTATACSAATGACTTTAAATAATAATTTCAAAAATAATATATCCAAAAACGTATCGACATAAGAGGGTTTAAGTACTTTTAAAATAATCTCCTTATATTATTATTAAAATAAAGTATTCATCACACGAAATCTACTTAGACGTTCGTCCTTATTAATGTTATATTAAGAAGTAGGTATACAACTGTATATTAAGCTTATTTTTTGAGTATCGAACCGAATATCTGCAATTTTACGCCCCAATATAAGAAATAATAAGTACCTTAACTCCAAAAAGCACACTATACTCACAATACCATATATTTCGAACTATTTTTTGAGATCTTTGATGGCGCGATATATTATTATTTATTATATTAAACTGCACGTTTTCCACGAACAAAAAAATAAGGAAAAAGACCATTTGCAAGATGAAACGTTCGAACAACTAAGCCGGAGCGTTATAAGAATTTGAAATTCGTGAATAATCGTAAAATGGGGRGAAAAAAATACATAAAAACGCGGTTTGACTAAAACGAAGAAATACGCGGTTTTTTTAGTTTTATCGAAGTGTGCGTTTATTTTTTATTTTTTTGTTCCGGAACGATTCAGAAAAACCCATATACACATTAATCTAAGTGCCTATTTTTTACATATAATAATAGGAATATGTATCTAGATTCTAGAATGGTATTGATGCTTGAAGTATACAGAGTGTTATAAACGGTCACCAATTGTTTATATCAGAGGTATTCAAACTCCCAGGGGCGTCGCGAGGGTTTTCGAAGGTTGCCGCGTCAAAGCACCAATATTGTATGATATTATTTGCAATCATTATGGAAATGAAAAAGACATGCCTTACTACGCGACCATTTGAATTTTTATTTCTGGTACTAAAGTCACTGTTAATATAATATTATCACCCATATAACATATTTGCCATATTGCATCTGTGATGTGTTGTTTCAAGTTTTCATAATAATTTGGGAGCCGTAAAAATATTGTGAACGCCCTAACGAGCCGAGGGATGAAAAAGTTTGAATACCTCGCTGGTTTATATAAATCATAACTCATGAATACTCGTTAGGCTGCGGGTATCCGCACTAAGTATCTGGTCTGAATTTTAYACTTAAGTTTTTTTCATCGCAGTAGTTCCCACACTCCTTTTCGAGTAGTTCAAAGAATCTCYGCGAGATCTTGAAATATATGTATTATATTTTATGATGGATTTTATAGTTAATTATATTGTATGTTTATATAAATTTGAAATATTAGGTTAGGTTATTAATGGGAAAATTTGTGGGCGATCTCGTTTGATATTAAGCACTCTGTATATATGATTTAAATATAATAATATGAGTAGGGATGATATTTAACGTGGCTGTCAACACAACGAATTACAATAATGTTTCACGTTCAAACTCTAGCAAACCGTGTTCTTTGCGTGGGCGTTGTTTTCGTCGTTTTTGACGTKGCAGCTCTTACGATATCGACGACGAAAACAATGAATATTATGATTATAATAATAAAACGCTTCAAAAGACCAATTGTATAATGACATGTTACTTTGTTGTTGTAATACAACGAAATAATAATGATTGCTTTATTATTATATTAATGATAATAATAATACGTGCAATCAAAAAGCGGTCATCCTGCCTAGTACATGTATAAAACTTAATGTAAAACGTGCATTGTTTATTATATTATAATGATTTTTTTATTTTTTATCAACACAAATTTACCTCGTAGACATAGGCTATTGGGCAAAAAAGTTTTTTACACTATTTTATTTTTTTTAAATTTTTTTTATTGAACATATTAAYATCGACAGCAAAGGCCATTAGTTACACTTATTTACAATAATGATATAATATAAATGTACTGATACAATTGTAAGTTATTTATTTAGGTTGAAACATTTTTTTTTTATATATAAGATTGAACAATTTTGTTTTTCTTAAAAAATTAATTATGTCTAGGATTTTTTCATGAATAGGTCCGAGTAGTGTGGAGTCGAGGTTGTATGATATCTTATGTTCGGCTCGTTCTTGGTTGTAGATTATGCAGTCGGCTATTATGTGTTTTATTGTTAATGCAATACCACAGGTTTGACAAATAGGGGGGGTCCTCTTTTGCCATAAGGAAACCATGGGTGATTCTGGTATGTCCTATGCGGGGTCGGTTAAGAACGTCTCCTCTTTTCGGATGAGTTTTGGGTTCGTCCACCGGCGGATGTYTCTTTTAATTTCGTTTAATTTGGTGTTTTGTAAGTTCCAGAGTCTTTGCCATTTATTTATAGTACCTATATTCGTTTATGAAAAGTTTCGTTGTTGTTAATGGCTATAGAGGCTTGTTCATCGGCTAATTCATTGCCTCTTATTCCCGAGTGGCCAGATATCCACATGATGGTGATTTCTTTACCCAAAATGGAAGCTTTGTTGAGATTGGATCTGGATTTTAGTTGCAATGTCGCAGGGGTCGAATTGGTTTTGTGAGCTTTTTATCGATCTTAGTGATTCGCTGAGGATGATGAATTTGGAGTGGGCTTTTTGGATAATAATCTCTGTAGCCATTAGGATAGCGATAATTTCGGCTGTGAATATGGAGCAAATATTAGGTAGTTTTTGCAATATTATTTACACTAGCTATTTTATATGATTACTATTATTACTTATATATTGTATGCGTAATGCAAAAATTGTCGAGGGACAGGATGCTAATTATCGGAATTCCGTGCACACTATATCTTGGAGGATACGGTATTAGATCAGTATAACCAACCGGAGGTGGAGGTGGTTTCATTAGCAAAATAAAATATATATTTTCAATAACACAATTATTTAAAAAATGGGGTGAGCGTGCTTTGTGAAACACCCGTATAATAAATACAGAGTTCCGCGATGATGTTTAAACATAATAATCATAATAATAATAATAGATTGGTAAACGTGTTCATATAAATTCGAGTACAAATAACAATGTATAATTATAATTATTACATAACACGGCAACATAATATCGAGACAAAATGCAAGTTAACTTCTATAAGTAATTACTTAAATATTTTAACCGTGAAATTCTCAATCGCGTCATCATTTCAACTCCAAACTCTTTCAAGCGTGAAAATTGGTTTAAGTAAAAAAATTGTAACTGTGCGAAAATGCATAGTGATTAATATCCTCTATTCTTATTGTAATATAATTATACTATTAGGATTATCCTAATAAAGAAAAAAAATTATCGTGATATACATGTAATTTAAATTGAAGGGAAAAGCAATATCTTTGTCCCATCACTATATAAAATATGCCAGATGAAATTGCTCACCCTTTTTTTATGTATCGAAAGATTTGGAAAAATATTCTGCTTTGGGATTTTCATAATTGTAACTTTAAAAAATTTTGAGAATAAAAAAAAAAATTATATTACACATTATACTTTAAATGTTATTTTTTAACGACTAGATATCATGTAAAAATGTTTTTTTTTTTTTTAACAACGTTTAAATAGATACTTTTTGAAATAATTAGTATGTTCAATGAATCGCCCGGTATACCTATTATGCGAGTGTAAAGCGCGTTCCTATATAATAAACATTACACCGCACATATTTTCGACTGCGCGTTTTAAGCCAATCCCAAAAATAAATATGATAACGTACGTACACGCAAGGAATATTTATGAGAATAGATGAGCCTTTTTTTTTCGTTTAAACCGACACCAGAGGAGGATCTGTATGAACACTACTACTCCTCTGCTGCCATCGTTTATTAATGTTTAATAAGAGAATAGATGAGCCTATTATAATATGTTATAYATATTATGTAAATGACAAATGCCCACCGTATGTCTCGCCTGCATTTCATCTAGAAATTACCACATTGGGTTCAACTTTATTTTTTATTATCTAGTCTCGTAATAGTTTCTGTGAGAGCGCAAATAAAACACAACGAAAACGTGAAATAAACTTGTAATTATTATCACTCGACGTGTATTTTCGATTCGTCTCGCACCGTTTTCGTCGAGTAGATGTTACCTTTATCAAAYTATGTTATCATGATGTAGGCATTATACGGAGCTGCAAACTGCAGTGGCGTATGTATATGTAAAATAAAAAAAAAAGGAACATTAAATTGTTATAGTTGTTACAGCGATAAATTGAATTGTATATGACCTAGGGGTAACATTATATTATTTTATTGCAACGAATTGAAAATTGATTTGTTTTTTAATTTGTCACTGGTTATAACGCATATTTTCAAAAAGCTTATTATATTTTACTATATTATAAAACCGAGTTACTCTCCAAATATTGGTATTATCATAATAATCCTAAATTTGTTATCAATACTTAATTCTTCAGTTTTGGTCTTTATTGATAAATAGACAGGTCATCAACTTTAAGGATTTTTGSTCGTTCGACACTTGTACTAATTTATATTTAAGTATACCGTATAATGTGATTCGCCATCATTGGTGTAGAGACAGTGTAATATTATAAATGTCTATATYATGTACAAATGATGGATAATGATTAATATTATAAAATATATTTACTTGTGCAGGTACTCGAAGACCCAACGGACGACGGCGTAAAGAGCTCWCTGATGGTCAGGAACTTGAAACAAGAACAGTTCGGAGCCTATAACTGTACGGCGTACAACGACTACGGGTCCGACTCGGCCGTAATCGTGCTGGTGCAAAAAAGTAAGTTACTCGCGTACACTGAGTCGAATAAAATATTTAGAAAAAATTGTGTTATTGAATACGAAGGTTTTTGAAAATTATTATTTAATTAATATTATTTAAGGTTTATTAGAATATATTATTAACATCTATKAGAGTGTGTGACTCAAAACGGAATGTTTTTTATAAAAATTTGATAAAACAGAACAATGATATTATCTTCCAAAGATTTTGAAAACCAGTTARGATTCCTATTATTTCTTCGTCTTGTTATTTTATGAACATTTTTTAAAATTTTTATAAAGTTGGACATAATAATATAAATATAAATTAATATARTATAATTATCAATATTAAACTAATATATTTTTGCTTATAAAATAATAATATGTGCATAATATATTGTCTAAATATTGCCTACACAAAACTCCTTACTATAGGTGCGGTTCGAACCATTTTTTTTTAAATTCACAAGTCTTCACAAAACTCGTGTCGTAGATAATTTAAATACATATAATATAATATTTGTCGTACCTTAATTAATTATTTACKTTTCAAATTATCATTGTAGGAGACTTTATGCTGATCTTGGCAATCATTGGTGCCGTGGGCGGAATCGTCGTCGTGATTTTGATTTTCTCCGTAATCGGGTTTTGTAGACGTACAACGACTCAGAAAAAGAAGAAAGCCAAATGTGAGTACAAATTTATTATTATACAATAGGTTTTATTGTCCTCCACGCGTATTGTAGTATTTAAGACACGCAGAGTGGCGGTAGATTAGTCCAAAAATTAGAAAACTAGTTTTATAAATATAAATTGTTAAGTATTACCATAGCTGCAATTCCAGATTTTTTTTTCTTCTTTTTTCATTATGTTGTATTCAATCTGTTTCAAAGGAGAACAATAAGAATAAATGATGATAGAAGCTAAGATAAAAATAAAAATARTATATACAATGGCAGATTTGGCGGATTGTAGAGGCCTCAGTGGAGGTACTTACTACGACATGAGTGAGATTTTCTTAGGCTAGGTTATTATTGTACATATATTCACTTAGGTTAGCAGGTCACGACACCACTGTCTTTTTAATCTTTTAGTTGGGTTACCTGGGATAATAGAAACAGATGATAGGTCAGAGATTAAGGGATTTGTATGGTGGGCTAGGCGGCTATTGAAACGTTTATAATGTGTTTTCGCTAATAATTCCAGATTTAACTTAGAAGTAAATGCGTTTAAGAAATTCAGGTTTTAAATCATAGATTTGTTTTAGCTTGGTAATTCAAAAAATATAATCAACGATTAAATAATAATAAGGAATATATAGCGTACAATAATCAGTTTTATTTGAAATTATTTTTTAAATTATTTTTAAAAATCTACAGATTCAAAATAATATTGTTTTTTTTTT